GGGTCCGGGCAGGGTGCCGGGGGGCTGGTTGAGGTGGGGGGTGCCCAGACAGGATGCCGGGGGGTGGGGGGTGTTTGGGGTGCAACAGGTCTGGGCAGGGGGTGGGGAGGGGGTCTGAGGCACAACAGATCTGGGCAGGGTGTGGGAAGGGGCTGTTTGGGGTGCAATGGGTCCAGGCGCGTGTGCAGGGGGTGCTGGTTGGGGTGAGGAGTGCCCAGACAGGGTGCAGTGGGGGGGTGTTTGTGGTGCAACGGGTCCGGGCAGCGTGCAGGGGGGGCTGGTTGGGGCGAAGAGTGCCCAGGCAGGCTGCAGTGCAGTGGGGAGCCGGTTCCCGACGGTGCGGGTATGGGTGTGGGGCAGGTTCGACCTGGCGACATTGCCGGTGGATTTCGTGGAGTGCCTGATGCGGTTCCTGCCAACGGAGGTGGAGGTGATGGGGCTGCGGCAGTATGAGCGGGAGCGAAAGCCACTGGAGGAGCTGGCAGACGAGGACCGCTTCATGCTGCAGTTCAGCAAGGTGGAGCGGCTGCCCCAGCGCATGGCCATCATGGCCTTCCTCGGCAACTTCACTGAAAACCTCCAGATGCTGACACCGGTATGGAGCTGGGAAGGGGGGAATCGCACCCACCAGGGTGCCCAGACCCTGCATCCCAGCTGAGCTCCCCTTGTCCTGTCCCCCTGCAGCAGCTCAATGCCATCATTGCGGCCTCGGCCTCTGTCAAGTCTTCCCAGAAGCTGAAGCACATGTTGGAGGTGAGTGTGGGGGGACCAGGGGACATCGGAACAAGCAGGGCTGGAGTCCTGCCCTCCATCCTCACCGTAGGTGGGCAGGGGAGGTCCTGTGGTGGGGGGGTCTCGTTCCTCCCTGACCTACCCCATCCCTGCTGCTTTTCCCCTGCAGATCATCTTGGCACTGGGCAACTACATGAACAGCAGCAAACGCGGTGCCGTCTACGGCTTCAAACTACAGAGCCTGGACCTGGTGCGGGCAGGCCCACACCCCCTGCCCGGGTCCCTGGGACCGTGTGGGATCCCAAGGGTCCCATCCCCCAGCCCTGACACCCTTCCCCCTGCCAATCATTTTGTAGCTCCTGGACACCAAGTCAACAGACAGAAAGATGACGCTACTGCATTTCATCGCGCTGACAGTGCGGGAGAAGTCCCCCGAGCTGGCAACCTTCTGGCAGGAGCTGCACTTTGTGGAGAAGGCAGCCGCAGGTGCCCCCCCATCCCTGCACCCCCAGCTCAGTGTCCCCCCCTGGGGCCTGTGGGTCCCCTGACCTGTCCCCCCTGTCCCCACAGTGTCCCTGGAGAATGTATTGCTGGATGTGAAGGAGCTGGGCCGGGGGATTGAGCGGCTGCGGCGGGAGTGCGGGCTGCATGAGAACAGCGTCCTGCGCTCCTTCCTGGCCGCCAGTGAGGGCAAGCTGGAGCGGCTGCAGAAGGACGCGCGGACAGCCGAGGTGAGGGCTGTGGAGCGGCTGTGCCTCGCACGGCCTTTGTCATGCACACCTTGCTTTGCACAGCTCTCATGTGTGTGCCTTGCTTGACACAGCCCTCATCCACACCTTGCTTGGCACGCTCGCCTTGCTTGGCATGCTCCTCATGCATGTTCACCTTACTTTGCACACTCCTTGTGCACATGTTGTCACGCACACTTTCTGTGCTCCTCACATACGCCTGTCTCACTTTGCATGTCCCTCCTGCACGTCTTGCTTTGCATGTCTCTTCTGCAAGTCTTGTTGTGTGTAGTCCTCGTGCATGCCTTGCCCGTTGCTCGTGCCGGGAGCTGCAGGACATGCAGCCTGTTGGTGACAGCCCTGTCCCCTGTTGCAGGACGCCTACAACACTGTGGTGCGGTATTTTGGCGAGAGCCCCAAGACAACCCCCCCGTCCGTCTTCTTCCCGGTCTTTGTGCGGTTCATCCGCTCCTACAAGGTGAGGCAGGGCTGGGAGGGCACACCTCGGGGTTGGGGGGTCAGTGACATCAGTGGTGAGGTGATGGCTCCCACCGCCCCCCCTTCGCCCTGGCAGGACGCAGAGCAGGAGAATGAGACACGGAAGAAGCAGGAGGAGGTGATGCGGGAGAAGCTGCTGGCACAGGAGGCTAAGAAGCAGGAGAAGGTGAGCGTGCGTGAGCTTGAGGGGGGTGGAATGACATGGAGGGGGACACCTGTGTCCCCAACCTGTGTCCCTTGTGCCTCCATTGCAGCGGAACAAGTGGCAGCAGCAGGAGCTGATCGCGGAGCTGCGGCGGCGCCAAGCCAAGGACCATCGCCCCGTCTATGAGGGCAAGGACGGGACCATTGAGGACATCATCACCGGTACGGCCCCCACCGCACCCCCCAGCCCAGACGCCTGGGTCCCACACGTGTGTGGGGGCTGACGTCTCCCTGTCCGCCCCCCCCCCCGCAACCCGTGCCCCCCTGCAGCGCTGAATAGTGTACCCTTCACGGCCCGCAT